CCCAGCCGCGCAGGTGCTGCGGGTGCTCCTGGCCACGGGCAAGTGGCCAACACCGGACTCAGCAGTTTCTATAGAAACCACAAGGCAGTGGCTGAAAATGCCTTTTCCATCGAACAAAACAAAAATACACTTTGTGTGTGTGTGTGTGCACAGCCCCGGGAGCTGCAGGCAAGGGGCTGGCTAACAGGGGTGATTTGTCCTTTCTCAGAGGTGTCTCGGCATGGTGGGGACCCACTTGGGGACCCCCAGGAAGATGCAAACATGAGGCAGAGGGAGCTGGGCAGTGCCCAGGGCTGGGGGCTGCATGGGGAGGTGTGTGGGTGCTGCCTGCGCACCCCCGGGGCTGGCAGGGTGCAGGCTGGGGCTACCCCAGTGCTCCCGGGGCCAAGCGTGGCGCGTCAGGGGGAGCACCAGGCACCCCCACCCTACCCTGGATTTTTTCATTAAAGGGTGAAGTGGGTCCCACAGGTCCCGTCCTTGCACGAATCGGGCATTAAGGGTGGCCCTGGGTGTTTCCCTGCAGGGAGGATCTGCTGCGGCGCTGCTCCAAAATGCACAGGACCACCAGGATAAAGATCACCGAGCTCAACCCCCACCTGATGTGCGCCTTGTGCGGCGGCTACTTCATAGACGCCACCACCATCGTGGAGTGTCTGCACTCCTGTGAGTGTCCTGGGCCCCTGGCTGGGGCCGCACTGCACCCAGGGGTGCCCCGAGCCCCCAGGAAGGGTGGCTGTGCCTCACGGAGACCCTCCCGCAGTGCCCAAACCCATCCTGCATCGGGTGTTGCTACCGCATGGAGCTGCGGGGTCAGTCCCATGCCGTGTGGACAGGGCTGGACCGGGGCAGACGAGCAGGTGTCCCAGTGGCAGTCAGTCCAGTCCCAGTGCGGGGGCGCGGGGTGCTTCGCTGGGCTCTGCCGGCTCTGCCCCCTTGTCCGTCCGTCCGTCTGCTCACGCTGAGTCTCTCCCCACAGTCTGCAAAACCTGCATTGTTCGCTACCTGGAGACGAACAAGTACTGCCCCATGTGTGATGTC